GATTTTTAGGTGAAATCATTTCAAAAACTGCTTTTATTTCTACATTTATTTCCTAGACACATACAATGTAGCAACAAAGGAGGCTTTGTTTTATATTATTCATTTGTCTAGGACATATGTATGCTACCACCATTTAATCAGAACCGTGTTTGCTTGGAGTTTTCTACTTGTTACTCTAAGCTTTCAACAGAACATTCCATGACTTTATCAAATCAGCTCTTTTCTGATGATTGGATTGAGATCAGAAAACTAAACCAATATTTTAAATCCTAAGTACATCCAGTAGGCCAAAAAAATAAATAAATAAAAACAACACAATTTTATACAATATGCTCATGACTCCTCAGATTTCAATTGCCAAAGTCTTGTAATTCTTCTGTTCTATAGGCTAACTCCTCTTGGATCTGGTCTTGTTTTGTGTGTCATTCTGCTGGCATCTTATTTGCATTAAGAAATTTGAAGGTGTGAGGAAAGATAGAAGTATGTTCTTGGCAAGGGAGTCCAGTGAAATTTCAATGTTAAAAGAATTTTACTTTTTCTTTGAATGCGTTGAATCAAAAGTCCCATTCCTGGGGCCTCCCTGGTGGTGCAAGAGGTTAAGTCTCAGAACTATCAAGGTATCAGCAGATACTGCAGCATGAGTTCGATTCCAGGCAAGGAAGCTAACCTACATTGTCCTGAAGACCACCTTCCACTGTGAAGAATTCTATTTTAACTTTATTCACAGTACCCTCTCTGAGATAGTTTCTTTGGAAAGTCTGATTTCACTGTCTCCTTTTCTCGTCACATGGAAATAATTACATGCCTTTGGTGTGCTCCATATTGGCAATGTCTTCTTTCAGCCTAGATAGACACCCACTAAGAGAATAAAACCATCAATTTAATTATACTATCTCATCCAGAATTGAGAACAAAAATCATTTTCTTCATCCATTTTTCTATACAACTGCTAAGTTTTTCAGAAGCAATATCCTGTCATATTTTTTTCTTTTTTTCTTCATTGTCATACTGGCCAAATTGTTAAAATCCCACATCTTCCAATCCATTTGCACTACTTTCCACTCTCATTTCTTTTTTTTAAAGATTTATTTATTTATGCATGCAAGAACTGGGGTACCGGCCAGAGGTGTGGGGAGTGATAGGACTCACCGTACACAAAGTGGGGAACAGCAGAGGCAGATTGACTGAAATACACTGCTGAGGGGAGCAGTGGGGAGACAGGAGAGGTCTGTTGCACCGTGTGGGTAGCTCCCTGGCCTGGGCTAGAACTAGTGCTGCAGTGGCTGCAGATAGCTTCATAGGCTGTGTCTTAACCCTTGCACCACCAGGGAGGCCCCACCACTCTCATGTCTTACTAGTAATTACCACTGGTCAAAACTAAATAGAAATCAAGGAACAATTAACTCATAAAAATCACACTCCTGGCACATGAGATATAGAGGAAGGTAGATCCTGCAAAAAATGAATCTAGAAGAACTAAGACAATATAAATCTTTCCCTTTGCACGTATTATCTCCCACTGTGCCACAGAAAGAATAAATTACCCTTGGATATGAAACTTCAACTACTGAGAATCAGGCTAAAAATATCTCATTTACTCTCACGCTGAAAACTTTAGATTTCTCAGTCTAGGAATTATGTATCTGAGCTACAGTTTCACATGCAACCTAGGAAAGCTGTTCTGCTCTCAGGAAGCTGGAAAGTCATTTGTCAGGGACAGTGTTTTGTTATTGATTTCTTGAAAAACAATCAGCCAAGATGGGCATTAAAATTACTCCAATTTACTGAAATTGCTATGGCTTTGGTAACTCCTGTATAGGCTGCAATTTGAAATGAACTGTCAGACAATGCTCCTTAGAATCCTTTATTATGCCAGTCTCTTTTCATGCTATCTGTAATATAATAGAATAAAGATAAAAAGAACAGGCTTGGATATACTTCACTTTAGCAAATACATTTTTATCTTTTATGTGTCATTGTTACCTGGTTGGAAAATTAAATATAATTTTCAAAAGGCATTCAAGAAAGTTTCCATTATTTAGTAAGGTGATAAAAAACAATCCAACATCATTTTTTCAATATCTATTGTATGTCTTGCACTGCTGAAGATCGTCTTAAAGAACTGGGAGACTATTGTATACTTATTCTAAAGATTAATTAGCTGACCACAAACACATAGAGAGCAGTAACTCATACTCCTTATAATAGGACCCTGGACATAGAAACTGAATCTTTCTTCTTTTTATAAAAGCTATTCCAATCCAATATTTTGTCAAAGACTCACACTTATATTCCTGTATGACAAATTGTTTTTGTTGATATACAAAGGAATTTTTAAATTTTCTATGCCTATGATATGATGGTTTATGAAAAATGCATATTTGATCTTTGTCCTGGCTTTAGGCACACAGCCTGGCCTCTATAACCTTTGGAATTTCCTAAATGATAAGAGCTATATAAGTGTGGTTTGTTATGTTAATTAGGTGACTTTTGAAAATACCAAAGGATGGATGCCAGTTGCCAGTGGAGCTAACCAAAAGATTAAAGTGTTGGAATACAAAGTCCCATCCCTGATTTCCAGGGAGGGGAGAGGAGCTGGAGATTGATTGAGTGGCCAAGAGCCAATGCCTTAGTCTGTGATAACTACATAATGAAGTTTCCATAACCCCCCCCAAAAAATGTGCTCAGAGTGCTTCTGGATTAGAAAACACTGGAGAGGGTAAAGAAACTTCAAGTCACTTCCCACATCCCTTGCCCTATGTATCTCTTCATTCTATGTCTAAAATTACATCTTTTTATAGTAAATCAGTAATCTAGTGTTAACTAGAGTAAAAAAAAATCAAAAAACAAGGAATATTTTGGGGAATCAAAGTAAGGATTGGATATCAGAAAGCAGTCTGTACTATGTAAAATCTATGTCCCCAAAATCACAAGTTTGAGTTATTTACATTGATAGGAAGACTCACTGAGGTCAAACATCTAAGTTATTTTAACCCAACAATATGTTCATGCTACCTATGCACAGAATAATTAGATATTATTTAGAAATCATTTGATTTTAGAAGAACCAAGTAAAAGTTAAGCCTTTAGAGGAAAGTTTGCATCTCACAAGAAAGTGACATACTATTGTTTGATGAAAGGGTATGGATCAATGGTTATTAAAATGTGTGTGTATATAATAGTGACACATAATGTTATGACCAGCAATATAACATCGCTGAATTATTTCTCAGTGATAATTTACATGAGATCAGTTTTTCATATATTATTAAATAACTGTCATGCATTCCATATTTTCTTTTTAATGGGGGTTTATTTTAGATTGAATTGAATTAGACAACATTCTTCCCAGAAAAGTTTTAAAAGGCACATTCCCACAGCTTCTGCCAACAGAACTTTTAATTTTTTAGATAACAGCACTAAGAATGCAAAAACAGATTCAAATGCCCATCCAGAGCAAAGACTGTACATGGAATTTAAAAGAGAAGACTAGACTTTCAAAACAAATAATAACAACAGAAATGCTGCTTAATATTTAGTTTAAAGAAATTACACAAAAGTCTTCAATGCAAACAGCAGAGAACAAGAGTACTTAAAAGAGAGCCAGGTCAGTGACAAAGTGGGGGACAGGTCACTGTCTGCACATTCTCACCTGCACACTGACAATTGCAAGGTCACTCAGACTCAGGGTGCAGCTACAACAGGATTTATTTAACAAAAAGGAGACTGGGGAAACAAAAGTGTTTCTAACACCACAGGTGGCTGCCTGTCTTACCCCAGATAGTGTCTACAGTGTCTAGTAGCCCCAAAATAAGGCTGCTCCAAAAATGATCATATAAAATGGATATAATATAAATTACATTTCAGACAAAAAATCTTGAACATTAGAAAATTGTATTTTACAACTGGAACATGTGATAAGATTTGGATATACAAATTTCCAAGTTAACATTCAGATAAGAATCAATCATGCATGAATCATTCACAATAATGCAAGACTATTATTCTTGGACATTACAATAATTAAACAAATAGCTATGATTTATTTATTTATTTATTTATTTATTTATTTTTAAAGATTTATTTATGTATGCATACAAGAGCTGGGGTACAGGCCAGAGATGCCAGGGGGCTGAGAGGGTTCACCAGAGAGAGAGCGGGGAACAGAACCGGCAGATTGACCGAAGTACACTGCTGAGCGGAGCAGTGGGCGAGACAGGAGAGGTCTGCCTCGCCATGTGGGTTGCTCCTTGGCTGGCTGGGTATCGAAGTTGTGCTGCAGAGGCTGTGGATTGCTTCTTAGTGTGGTGCTTAATCCCTAGTGCCACCAGGGAGGCCCTAGCTATGGTTTATTGAATGCCATGTAAATGTGTGTATATGTGTGTATGTGTGTGTATGCTGAAAATTGCACTTATTTTTTAAAACATATGTCCATATGCTCCAAATAACTTATTTCCCCCACTTTATATAAGCGAGGACATATGTTTAGGTAATTTGCCTTTATGAGCATAGCTAGTAAGTTGAATTTACTAATTGAGAGTATTTATCTCTAAAATCCTTGCCTTTATCTCAAAAGTTGTGGAGTCTATTTTGTTGTCTTCAAAATAGTGACAAAGAAAAAAGTTTTAATTACTAAACCTCTGTGTCTGCTGGCATTGAAAACAGTTGAATTAGGGCACAGATATAAGAGAGAATATGCACATTTCTTATACCTTCATAATTATTTGTGCACCCTGAATCAAAAGTGTCCTCATTTTGCACAGTAGTCTCTGTTTCCCAAATTTGAAGATTCTATTTGGTGATTGATTTCTTTTTTTTTTTTTTTTTTGATTTTTAAAAAGCCATTTATTTAAAAAAAAAAAACTGGTTTGTCAAATCACATAACGAGCAGTGCACAACTACCGAAGTGGCCCTGTGATAGTCACCAATGGGGCGTTCACCACACAGTATCTGAAAAATACAGCTAAAAAGGAGGAGTCTGTTGAGCACTAAATTTCAGATTTCTATTTGACTCCTGTTGAATGGCTTTAAGTTAGCATATAGTGAGTGAGAGGTAGAGTCCCAAGTATAATAGGTGATGCCTCAGGGCTCCATATAAAAACAAAACAAAAACAAAACCATTTTCCCTTCTGCACAAGGGAAGCCTATTCTATTCTTTATTTCCTTTGTGAAAACAGAAGCCAAGTTTCTCTTCTCAAATGATTCAGCATTCCAAAGTGTTGTGTGGTGACTTGGTGTTGTGCTTCTGGCTTGAGCATCTAATTTTCCTCACCTTCTGATTCAGACTCTTCCTCGGCATTTTGTAACCACTCAACAAACTTCTTCATCTGGTCAAGAAAAACACTTTTGCCTTTGGCAACATGTGCTTCTTTGTACCACTTCAATATTGCTTCTTCACTTAGCACATCAGCTTTATAGAAGAGAACCACGATCTTCTCAAAGGCTTTCATGAAATGGATATTGTCGTAACAGTATTCCTGCACCTTCTGGAGAAGGATCAGCTCTGACTGGCCTCGGGAGCTGAACACAGCCAGTAGGGGAGCATATTGCTTCAGGTGCTTAAGAGCCTGCTCTGCAACAAGTTCTTCCTTCTTGTTCCATTCAACAGCATTCATTATACAGGTCCACAGAAGCCCAATCACTGCTGTTTCTGGAAGATCATTCCTCTTCATTTCTTCTTTAACATACAGCACCACCTCCTTGATCGGGCATTCCTGAGAAAGACTTTCCTGCAGCTCCTTCTGCAATTCCTTCCTGGTGCCCAGGGACTGCAGGACTTGCAGGAAGTCGGACAGTTCTTTCAGACCTGCATCAGTGAAGAATTTAGCAAAATGATCCACACTCTGTCTGTTAACTGGAAAGAGTTCCAGCAGCCTCTTGTCTAAGTTGGCTTTTCTCAAAGAAGAGGTAACAGAATTGGCATCTTTTTCTGCCATCCATGCTTTAAAAAGTTTGACAGCAAATGAGGCTGCAATGCCTTCTTTGACTAAGCTGTCGGTGAAGAGACTGGTGAGGATGGTGGCAGGAAGGGTGCCGTTGCCCAGCAGGGTACCTGAGAGCATTGCCAACTTTGTCTGCTCTGTTTCAGAAAAGGCTTTTAGGAAGAGGAGAAGCTTTTTCATTTCATCCTCCAATGCCTTTTCCAAATACTTATATCTCCTGAAGAGTTTATTGAAGACCTGAGCATAGTTTTGGATGGTTTCATGATCTTCATTTGCTGAAAACACACAGTGGTTGGTCATCTTGGTCTTGTCACCATCATCTATGCGTGTTCCTCCAGGGGCAAGCATACTGCCAGCCACCAGGATATATGTGATTTTCAAGTCCAAATTCAGATAATTACAAAGTCTTTACTGACAGTTTGCCCACACCAGATTTGATATATAGCCAGTGAAGTACAATCTTTTTTTTTTTTTTTTTTTTTTGTGGGACACTCACCGGTGGCCAGGGATCGAACGTGCTGCAGCGGGCAGCCTCACAGCCCAGTGCTCCACTGCTGCGCCACCAGGGGAGGCCCCAGTGTTGTACAATCTTTAAGGAGTACTGTAGTTGAGGATTCAGATCCTTCTGGCTGGTTTTACTCTTTTTGCATATTTGCATTTCTAGCACAGGTAACCTCATGCCTATGTCTGCTAACCTGGGACCTTCAGCTAAGGTCTTCCTCAAGCATCTCTGCCTGCTTTTAATGACGGTGAAATGGAAGAGAGGAAATCTTTGAAGATACTTTTCTCCACTCTGACTTGGTACTTAACTACTCTTTCACTGCTAGTCCTTCCTCTTTGTCCTCTCCTTTGTCCTCTGGGATCCATTAAACTTGAAATCCTTTGTTCAGGTTCCCTTAGAAGAAAAGCCCCCACCCCCCAACCTCCACTCCCAGCATCTCTGCTGATCCATCTGACCCTTCCTGAGTGCATTCTATAGGGGGAGCTGGCAGTTTCTCTGGGTTAAACATTGTTGATATTGTCACAGTAAGTGATGAAAGATTTCACTGTTATTTCCATTTTGACTCATTGTTTTTAATCAATCAGTTACTCCAAGTTCTGACAGATCAGTTCTCTACCCTGAGCTCCTGACAAACAAGCGTGATTTGTTTATGTTTTTGGATTTTGTGAAAGATACCTAAAAATTGGATGAAACAGACTTTCCTTTCTATTTACTGTGAAGAAACTCACGAGAGACTTCCATTCTATCCATGTATTCAAAACCAGGCAGATAATTTTTTTTTTTAAATGAAAGACATGGTTAACAAAATCAGGGAGTTGAAATGGCTAGAGTCTCTCTTGCCTACAAATATAGCCACTCCCCAAAGGCAAAGATCAGAGCAGGAATGCTGAGGGAAAACTGTCAGGAAAGCTTTGAGATTTCAACCACCAGAAGAGTTTAGAAAAATCTCCAATCTCTTCTACCCAAACCAACAGTTAAGAAAATGATTAAGTAAACACACAAAGGGCAAATATTAAAAATATGAAAATAATGCTGACAAATCAACAGTGAAAAGATAATTCACTTAATGACAATAAATATGAAAAAGACGAATATTTGTTTACAACTGACGATATATCCATGGCACAAAAGCATATAAGAAAGGCATTCAGCATAAACTATTAGAGAAATGCAAATTAAAATGACAACTGCATGTCATTTTATAACTATTAGAATAACTAAAACAAAGACAGGGCAGATGTTAGTGTGATCTGGAATTAGAATTTTCTTTTTTTTTTTTCTTTCTTTCTTTTTGTTTTGTTAACATGGTAAAATCTTGGCTTGCCTGGTTTTTTTTTAATTATATACCTACCTAAGGACACTCCTATAGCAGAATGATTCTTAGATAAGTCACAACACAAATATCTGCCTCAAGTCTATTATTTAATATTAATTATACTATAGAAATATTATTTACTCTCTCTGATGTTTAGTTTCATTATTTTTACAAGCTCTTAAATATATCTAAAATTCTGTATAACTAAGAAACTGAGCATGCAGATCATAGATTTCATCCCAAAGACCTCATATAGACAACAGTTAAAATGAGAGCAAGATAGACAAATCCAAAGGCGAATTCAGAACTGGAAACAAATGTCTGCATTAAGGTATTAAATAGAATACCTTAATAGTAGTCTGTACTGGTTAATTTTATAGACTATAAATTAAAACTATATGAACTCCCTCCCCTGCATTTTTTGTTATTATTTCCCCTGCTTCCAGGCTTTCTGATTCACAACAGATTTCTAACTATGAGATTTAGACAGGGCGTTTTTATTTCTTTGTGTATTTTTCAAAGACAGGAAGGGGATTCTCTAGTGCAAGTGTGAAGTATTTTATTTATTGGTTTTGTACAGAATCAGGAGAACACTGGAAAATAGGTTTTAGAAAAGAAAGGGGAAAATACTCCTTTCTCAGAGTCATTTCCCATTGTTTTGAGAGAGCTGTGCCTTAGTCCAAAACACACAGCTGAAGTTAAGTACCATTCCAGAGGTGACAAGTTGACAGAACTGGTTAAAGTTAAATCATCTGGGGTTCTCTGGGGCTTCTTTTTTTATTATTGTAGTTCTTGCTATGGTCCATGTACTCAACATTTCTTTTTGATTTCAAAATTCTTTAAATGCCAATCGTTGGATGATAATCCTAGGGGATCAGAGTTCCCTTGATGCCCCTATCTGGTGCCCAGTTAGATGTCACTATTAGTTGGTTTAATATTCTTCTCTTAAGATAACGGTGGGCATATTTTTGTGCCATTTTGGAAAAAGTGGGTAATACAATATGCCAAGTTATGCAATAATGCAGTTCCTTATGAAACCATTTCTGCTACCTGATGGTGACTGACCCATATTTGCAGGAATTTTTCAAGTTTAATCTGGTAGAAAATGGCCAACCTTTTTTATTTCTTTTTTTTTATCAGTGTTTTGTGTGAAAGTTATGGCATTCAAATCTTGTTGGACAATGAAATTATACTGATATTCAAACCAAATTTTGATATGATAATTTCTTTAAGGAGGAAATAAGGAGAACTACACTTGGTAAAATATTTGTTCCAAGACAAGCAATTCTGGCTTTATGTGTATTTGAAATAATTTGAAAAGTTTGAGAACTGAACCTTTTTGTAAACAATTTTCATTTGAAGTCTTTTACTTTTACTTGTTTTTGTGAGAGCAGTTATGATACACTAAGGGGGCTTTTTGAGTTAGATCTCTGTCTTGCTAGGCTATGTATGAGGAAATTGTGAGATATTGCCCTCAAAGTTCTTAAGCGACCCGTTTTCAATGTAGCAGAGTCTAAAAAAGAGTTGTTTGAATTATGTCAGAGATGTCAGTATTAACCCTAAAGCCATTTTTGATTTTTGAAAGCTTTTGTTGGCTTCAGAAAATCTCTTGGACCTTCTCCATTTAATCTAAATTATCTTGAAGCTGAACATTTTTTCTCTTTATTTATTTATTTATCTATTGATTGATTGATTGGTTTGTTTACTTATTTATACAAACACTGTGTACAGTCAGAAGCGCAGGAGGGTGAGAGAATTCACCAGAGCCAGAGCGGGGAGAAGAGCAGGCAGAAGGACCGAAGTACACTGCTGAGGAGAGCAGCGGGCAGCAGGAGGGGTGGCCGGGGAGCAGCCGGGGATGGAACCAGCGCTGCAGAGGCTGCGGGCAGCTTTGCAACCCAGCTCTCAACTGCTGCGCCACTGGGGAGGCCCAACATTTTTTTCTCTTTTTAAAATTTATTTTTTCTATTTATGCATACAAGAACTGGGGTGTAGGCCAGAGGTGCAGGGGTGCGTGAGAAGATTAACCAAAGACAGAATAGGGAGCAGAATAGGCAGACTGACTGAAATACACTACTGAGGGGACAGTGGGTGAGTCAGGAGAGGTCCGCTGTGCCATATGAGCAGCAACCTAGCCGGGGATTAAACTCATGCCACAGTGGCTGGGGATAGCTTGTTAGTGTAAGACTTAACCCCAGCACCACTAGGGAGACCCTGAACATTTTTTCTTTAATGTGTCTCTGTAATGACACAATATATGCATTTGAAAGAAGCTGATTGGAATTTATAACACTCTGTTTGAAAAATTGTTTTACTTAGCTGTGCACGTTCACTAGGTAATTTTTATATCTTTCATGTTACAGCATACCTAATAGAAAATTTATTACTTTTCATGCCTCAAATGATAGTTTCTCCTCCCTTCTGGTTCTTCTCTCCTCCCCTAACCACCCCCCCCCCACCAATTTCATCTTAAGAGTCATTTCCACATGTTTTAGGTTTTAGTTTTTGTAGCGAATGACTTAACAGTGTTCACTTTATTCTAATAGGTTCAAAGACTTCTCTGCCAGTTTGGATTAAAGTCATCCCAAAATATTTTTCTTCTTAGACCTGTGGAATTTGATAAATACAGTATTTTTCTCAACTGGATTCCAAAGTTGCTGAAAGAATGAAACCCAACTGTAATTAGGGAGAAGAAAACATCCCTAATTTAGAAAAGACATTTGTAATTTTTTCTATCTTTTAAGTATGCAAAGAATTTTCTTCTCTAAAAGCAAAGTTGCCTTCATAATGAATGGCTACAATATGTTTCTCTGCTATAGATGGTCCCCACTTATGATTGTCCCAGTTACTGTTTCCAACTTTATGACTGTGTGGGACCAATTTGTATTTAGTAGAAAGCATACTTTAAATTTTAAATTAGGACACTGTTTTTCACTTGCAGTACACTGTTCAATAAATTACATGAAATATTCAACACTTTACTATGAAATAGGTTTTGCATTAGATGGTTTTGCCCAACTGTGGGCTAGGGTAAGTGTTCTGACTACCTTGAAGGTAGCCCAGGCTAAGCTAGGATGTTCACTGGGTTAGGGGTATTAAATGTGTTTTGAACATATCTTTAATTACAATTGGTTTAATGGGACATGACCTCATTTTTTTAAAGATTTATTTATTTATACAAGAGCTGGGGTACAGACAGAGGCGCAGGAGGGTGAGAGAATTCTCCAGATACAGTGGGAAGCAAAACAGGTGGACAAAGACACAGCTGAGGGGACCAGTGGACAAGGCAGGAGAGGTCTGCCACACAATGTGGGTATCTCGCCGGCAGGCTGGGAATCAAACCCATGCTACAGAGGCTGCAGACACTTCCATAGTGCTGCACCCAACTGCCTGTGCCACCGGGGAGGACCATGACCTCATTATAAGTTGAAAACGGTCTGTATTTTCCCTGACCTTTGCTCTCCAATTGCCAAGAGCTGACTTCAGCCCCAATCATTAATTATTTGGCCTAGTCCTATAGTACTAGTCACTACTATAGAGTGT